CAACTCGCGGAGGAGCCCCGGAAACATGAAAACACCCCAACCTGCGCCACCCCCCACCCAGAGGCAACTCTGTCTCAGGCACTTCCGCAGCCCTGACAGGAAACCGGTCACAGCCTCAGCCTCCCGCCATCTCAAGGCAACTTCTTGTTTCCCAGTTACCCTGTGCCAGCCCAGAGTTGTGGTCCTGGGCTCCACCCCCCAAAAAAATCTTCCCAGGCTCCATCCCAGCAACTCAGAGGGGCCGGGATGGTGGACATGATTGCAAAACTGGCCAGGAGGCAGAGCCGGGCCCTGAGGGCACAGGTAAGGCTAGAAGGACTCTGGGGCAGGCTCGGCCTCTGACGGGGTGGCCAGGGGGGCCTTCTGGGTTCGGAGTTGCAGCAGGCCTGCACCCCACTCTGTTAGTAGCCGCCTGCAGAGCTCAGAAGAGTATGCGTCGGGTGGTCTAGGCACTTTTCTTCTAGAGGCCTTTCCTGTCCAAGGAAGGGTGCACAGAGGGATCGGAGATCCCCAGCTTGGGGCACGAGAACCAGGGCTTCCACCACTGTGGACGAGAGGGGGGGATTGAAGGCGAGGAGTGCCTTACCATAGGGAAGTGAAGGGGTGTCTGTGGTGAGAGGAAAGGTCTCTCTTGGCTCCGTCCTCTGACCTGAGGTGGGGAGGCCTCTTCCTCTTCCCCACTCAGGCCTGAGTCTATAGGTACAGCTTAGGAGCCCTTGATGCTATTTTTAGGCTATGGCTGCATGTGGGTCTCCAGAGTGGGGGCCAGCATGGCAAGCCACACTATCCCCTCCCCCCCCCAAAAAAAAGCACAGTGAAGGGCCTACACAGACCCTGGAGTAACGAGAGCCCAGCTGGACCCTACCAGCTGAGGAAAGCCCCTTCAGCTCATCCCTGGGGGCGGGGCAGGGGTGGGGAGGAGTCCACGGAGAGGTCCAGAGTTTGAGGGACCAGTGAGAACTACAGTTCCATGGCTGCAGCTTCAAAGAGGAGCGGGCTGTGCCTGCTTGCCTCTATGAGGGTCCCTCTCTCCCACCTCATGCATTTGGTGTCTCCGGGGCAGTACGGCTTCCCAACACTTCCCGCCCCCACCACATGGTTCTCTTCTTGCGATAGCCCTGACCTCTCTCTCCTCAGTGCCCCCATACCTGCTGGTGTGTCCCTATGGGAGCTCCTTAGCTCCAGTAACCTGTCAAGCATCATCCCTGCTCCAAAGAGCCCAGCAGCATCACAGCATCCCCCTAACCCCCATGGACCCTTCCAACCACCACCACCCTGTGCCCCATCCCAGTCCTGGAATAGGCAAAGCCTCCGCCCCAGTGCATCTAAGTGTGGGGCAGGAGACCTCTCTGCTCCCTCTCTGCTCCCTCTCATTATGGTGTCTGTCCTGTCCCAGTGAATCTCCTGGGCTCTGTGGCTCAAACCTTCCTCCCCAGCAAATCCTTTCTCACATTCTGCCCAGTGGGTATGAGTTTGTGTGTTTCTGACATTCACCACAGGATGGACTTGCATATCAGAGCAGCGTTTGAATAGACCTGTTATAGCTTCAGGGCATTGTCTCACCTGATGGGGGCAGTGGCATCCGCACATCGTCCAATGTCACACTCACAAGAAGAGGTGCGTGTCTTGGGAAAGGGGAGACGGCTCAGTGGGTAGAGCACTTGTGTAAGCATGAGGCCCAGAGTTTGAATCCCTGGCACCCATGTAGAAGCCAAGTGGATATGGTAGTCTGCCTGTAATCCCCGTGCTGAGGAGGTAGAGACAGAGGATCGCTAAAGCAAGCTGGCTAGCTCAAGTCAGTGCGCTCCAGCTTCAAGTGAGAGACCCCACCTCAATATGTAAGGTGGAGAGTGATCGAGGAAGACAGCCACTGTCAACCTGAGACCACACACACACACACACACACACACACACACACACACACACACACCACATCCACAAGGAATGAGAGAAGAAGGAAGGAAGGAAGGAAGGAAGGAAGGAAGGAAGGAAGGAAGGAAGGAAGGAAGGTAGGTAGATGGGCAGCTACCCAGCCTCCAAGGCAGAATGCCACTGGACCCTAACAAAGCGGTAAGCAGCTTAGATCTCTGCCCTGAGAGGCTGTCACCTGAGGCTCCCTAAGAAGCAAAGTCAGTGTGGGGAGGACAGGAGAGGGGGCAGACGGGCCAAGGGGACAGCCTAAGGAAGTGGTCATCGAGGAAGCAGATAGGTGCTGCTTCTGGTGCGGTGGGATAGCCTGGTGCAGCTGAAATACAGGAATCCACATGAGGTCTGGGGTCAGGGAAAAGGAGAAGTGTGCAGAAGGTCCTGTCTCCACCGTGCGCACGAGCCTGGAGGGGTAAAGGAGAAGAACTGTAGGGCTCAGCTCAGCACCTGCGTTCTGGGCCTAGCCTCCCGTGTCTCGCGGTGCCTTTACATGTCTTTTTATTCTATTTTATGTATTTGTTTCTTGCACACACCATCACGTGTGCCACGGCACACACGTGGAAGTCAGAGTCACACACAACTGGGCAGACTCAGTTCTCTCCTTCCCTCCACCCTGTGGGTCTTGGTGTTCCAACTCAGGTTGTCAGGCCTGGCGGCAAGTGCCTTTAACTGCTGAGCCCTCCCGCTGCCCCCCCCCCATGCAGTCTTCCTCAGCGGTGACACCCCGTCATTGACAAGCTGCGCTTACCACACCCCGCACCTGCCCTGTGTGCACTTGAGGCCGGCTCTGCCAAGCAGGGACTGGCCTCCTCCATTTGTTCTCTGCTGCATCCCCAGCGCCTGGAGGCTCGGGTCCTACCGCACAACAGAGCAGAGGAATCTGTGAGATGAGTGACCGGGGAGGGGGAGGGGGGGCAGTAATAGTTACTTATTTTTCTGTGTGTGAATACAAACACTCATGTATGTACATGCATCACATGTGTGCCTGGTGCCCAAAGAGGTCAGAAGAGGGCATCAGGACCCCCTGGAACTGGAGTTAGAGAGTTGTGAGCCGCCACGTGTGTGCTGGGAACTGAACTCAGGGCCTCTGCAAGAGCAGCAAGTGTTCCTAACCACTGAGCCATCTCTGCAGCCCCAATGAGTGCCTTTTATGTTCTTCCTAAAACACAGGGAGAAGCCACGTTGAGAACGACAGGCCTTCCCTTACACGGGTATCTCAGCCAACGTTTGTGATGATTGTGTCCTTGTGTGGGTGTGTCACAGCACACACGTGGGGGGACGGAAAGCACCCTGTGCTAGTTAGTTCGTTAGTTTTCACCCTTCACCACGTGGTGAAGTCACACTCAGGACATCACTCTTGGTAGCAGGCGTCTTCACCCACTGAGCCATCTTGGCAGCCCAGTTTGTGTTTTCTTAAAAAAAAAAAAAAAAAAGCCGGGCGGTGGTGGCACACGCCTTTAATCCCAGCACTCGGGAGGCAGAGCCAGGCGGATCTCTGTGAGTTCGAGGCCAGCCTGGGCTACCAAGTGAGCTCCAGGAAAGGCGCAAAGCTACGCAGAGAAACCCTGTCTCGAAAAACCAAAAAAAAAAAAAAAAAAATACTGTTAGAAAAAGTGGAATCTCCAAAAATTTGAAAGGAAAAAGAGCTCAGAGCCGGCACTCAATGGATGAGTACTTATTTGCCTTCTGTAATTGAGACCCAGGGTTCAGTTACCCAGCAGCAGCACCACTACCCCCCCAAAAAAACGTAACCCCTATAATCACACTGCCCAGATAGACCATTTGTCAGCATTTAGTTTGACTTTGGTCCTTTGGGGGCAGGGTCTCATGGACCCCAACCTGGCTTCAAACTCCACATGTAGACGAGGATAACCTGGAGCTTGTGAAGTTCTGCTCCTCTGAGTGCTAGAGTTACAGGCATGTACTGCCAGGCCTGGTTGTGTGCAGTGCTGGGAATCGAATCCAGGGTTCTGTGTGAGCACTCTCCCCAGGCCACCCTTATTAGCTTTTGGGGTGTACTGTTGGCTGGGAGCGTTGTCTATTCTTAGAAGACTATCAACCCCCCACCCCCGTGCATTCTTGCTGCCTTGGGGTTGACGGTGAGGCTGCCTGTCTCTCTTGGGGTTGGCGTTGCTGGGCTGCATGTTGGTGGGATCTGGGGAGATGTGGGGAGAGATGTGGGGACCTGACACTCTCTGGAGCTGAGACCTGAAGAACAAACTGTCAGTTGGGTGAGCCGGTAGAGTTGGACACAGACAGGCTGCAGAGGAGCTGAATGCACTGGGCCCCAGAAGGTCCAGCAGGGGGGTGGGGGTGGGGACCTGTGACTGCCGCCCTGTAACTAGAGCTTGAAGTTCAAGGCCAAGAGCAAGCAAGGAGTGGCAGGAAATAGAGCCCAAGCCCAGGCAGGTGATGGATGGGCCTCTGTGGGCCTCAGACTTTGCCCCTCTGCCCACGGGGGAGGCAGAAAGTGTGACTCACACCAGCTTCTCCTCTGTGACTAGCCAGACGAAACCCCAGATGCCCCACTCCTTTGTGGGGGAAAGGGGCCTCTCCTTTCTTTGACCCTTTATTCTCCAACCCATCAGGCTGCTCTCTCTCTCTCTCTCTCTCTCTCTCTCTCTCTCTCTCTCATTCCTAAACCTGCCCCTAGCAGTACGGACTCCATCACAGGAGCTTTCAAGGGTGGTGGGAGCCTTCAGTGGGGCCGTGGATTGCAAAAGGACCCCAAATGAGGCCCATGAAAAAAACAGGCCCCGGGCCATTGGTCTGTTGCTGCCGATGCGTCCCCTTCCTCTGAGTGCAGACTCCCGAGAGCTGAGTTATTGCTGTAAGATTAACAAACTGACCTCCCCATCTGTGGCGCGCACTGCTTCAGGCCGCACTTTCCAAAGCGTTTCCTTACTTTTACCATAATTTCTGGGATGGGCAAAGCACACATTTTCCACCCAGGGCAACTGAGTCAGAGGGGTAACCAGCGCTTGCTGAAGGTCGCCCAGGTTGCAAATGTCCAAGGCCACACCGTGTGACTACTCTGGAGTTGCCCCAAATGTCGTCTGCTTCTGCCCCCGCAGGTGGATGACCCCCCGGAGCCAGTGTACGCAAACGTAGAAAGGCAAGCTCGGGCCACTTCGCCGCGCTCTGCCGCCGCTCCTCCTCGGCTCAGCCCAGTGTGGGAGACCCACACGGACACGGACACTGGGCGCCCCTACTACTACAACCCCGACACGGGCGTGACCACCTGGGAGTCACCCTTTGAGGCCTCTGAAGGCGCCACCAGCCCGGCCACCTCCCGGGCCTCCGTGGGCAGCGGGGAGAGCCTGGAGACGACAGAGTGGGGCCAGTACTGGGATGAGGAGAGTCGCAGGGTGTTCTTCTACAATCCCTTGACGGGTGAGACGGCCTGGGAGGACGACGAGACTGAGGACCTGGACGAGGAGCTCCAGGAGCAGCTGGAGATGCAACCCAGCCTGAGCCCGCGAAGCCCCGGCCAACAGAGGGTGAGGGGCGGGGCCACTCCAAGGGCATCTGATCCCACCTCCTACTTCTCGGGGTTCAGAGGAAAGGGGTGGGACGGGGAGGGGGGGCGGGCATTTCAGAGCATCTTTGATTCCTTAATCAGAAACCGGAGAATGGGGACGGGGCCACCTCTGAGCGTTTCTGACCCCACCTCTTGCTTCTCAAGAACCAGAGAGTAAGGACAGAGCCGTCCCTGAGGGCCTCTGACTCCTTTTCTGGCTTCTTGGCCCCAAGGGCTAGAGGGTGATAGGTGAGTCTGGTACTAAGTGGAGGAGGCAGGAACCTCTGACGCCATCTTCTGGTCCCTGCAGCCCCCGACTCCTGAAACAGACTACCCGGAATTGCTGGCCAGTTACCCGGAGGAGGACTATTCTCCTGTGGGCTCCTTCAGTGATCCTGGCCCCACATCTCCCGTGGCTGCGCCCCCTGGCTGGGACTGTCACATTACTCCAAACAAGCAGACGCTCTACACCAACCAGTTCACTCAAGAGCAGGTAGGACATCACTAGCTGACGGACTCCCTCCATCTTTCACTCCCTCCCCAGACTTCCTCAACTAGGACCTCCCTCAAGATTAAAGTGCAGACCCCACGCCATTCATTGCTAAGTCAGGTGCTCCAGCCCCTGGTACCATCCTGGACTCTGGGCTGAGGGCCCTGACCATCCCTGTGTCCACAGTGGGTGAAGTTGGAGGACCAGCATGGGAAGCCATATTTCTACAACCCAGAGGACTCCTCTGTCCGGTGGGAGCTGCCCCAGGTAAACAGCTGGAGAAGGGAGAGAGCCGGGGAGGGTGGAGGGGGTGATAGGTCACAGCGTCTCTCTCCCCAGGTCCCGATCCCTGCCCCTCGAAGCGTTCGCAAATCCAGCCAGGACAGTGACACGCCAGCCCAGGCTAGCCCTCCAGAGGAGAAGGTGGGAAAGGGCCATGGAGTCTGGGGTCAGGGATTGGTGGAATATATTCCTCCCTTCCCTATAAGCCCCAGAGCAGAGGGAGTCCTGGAGAAATCTCCCTGTGCCTGCTCCTGTAGGGACATCACCCTCCCTCCCAGCAGTGGGGGTGGGGGTGGGGGCAATGACAGGGTTCAGTGAGCCTCAGGCCTAGCCTGTGGGGGAACTTCCAGATGAGGAGATGCTAGCTTCGTCCCTTACCGCTTGCCCCCCTCATAACCATTCCCTCTCCCCCCCTAACCCCCGTTCTCTTAGACCAAGACACTGGACAAGGCAGGAGTACTTCATCGTACCAAGACGGTGGACAAGGGGAGGAGACTTCGGTGAGGGCCTGTCCCAACCCCAACCATGGCAGAGTGGGCCTTGATGACAAAGTTCACCAAGTGCTAAGCTCCCTCATGCCACACTCTTACTAATCCTCGTAGCAACTTCATCCAGGGCCCTGTCAGGAAACTGAGGCACCTAAGGTTCCTTGGCTACCAGCTATTAGGGGTGGGAATCCAGCTCTTTCAGGCCAGGGCCCAGAGCTGTGTTCTTAAAACTCTATGTCCTGTGAGGGGTAGGGGGGAGGTGAGTCCTCCAGATTAGGAGCAAATCTAAGCCCCACCCACGCCCACTTCCCTCCATACTCAGGAAGAAACACTGGAGTGCCTCCTGGACGGTGCTGGAGGGCGGCGTCCTGACCTTCTTCAAGGACTCAAAGACCTCAGCTGCAGGCGGCCTGGTGAGACCTGTCCCTGAGCAAGGGACACTTTCTGATCTGTTTTTCTGGTCTGGTTTGGGAAAGGCTGGTCTGAAAGATGGGTACCCAAGTACCAAGGAGCTGTATATTAGCGGGGGGGGGGGGGGGCAATGATGGCAGATTCACTACAGTACAAGCCGCTCCAGTCACTTGGGGCCTGAGGAACAGTCCTTGGGGATGGACAGCTCCAGTCTGGAGAGAGGGAGGCTAGGACCCGGCATACCTGCTCACAACATGGGCTTGGGCTCCTTCCTTTCCTTCCTTCCTGCTGTCCAGTAGGTTCTAGGACAGAGATGCACCAGGAGGCTGGTATGTCAGAGCCCAGTCTGGGTGGATGCCCCTTATAATCTTGCTTCCTCCATTCCTCCCTTCCCCCACAGAGGCAGCCTTCCAAGCTCTCCACCCCTGAGTACACAGTCGAACTGAAGGGGGCCTCTCTCTCTTGGGCCCCCAAAGACAAATCCAGCAAGAAGAATGTGTTAGAGGTGAGTGGGGCCCGTGAATGATGAGAAAGGGGCCCGTGAATCCCACTACAGACAGGGCCCAGGAGTAGGGACCTGCAGAAAGAAAGAAGGGTCGTAATTCTCAAAATCAAGGCTGCCCCATCTTGGGCTCAGTGTTTCTGCCATCATGCTGTCCAAAGCCCCCACTCTGGATAAGAGTTAATACCCCCTTGCCACTGAGGGTAAGAAGCAAGTCTCTGGGAGATGAAACCGCCGTCCCCAGAGTGGTCTTCTTCTCTCAGCCACCAGCCTGAGACCAGAGACTCTGACTCTAGCCGCTCACTGTGATGGGTTGAGCCAGGGACCTGCTTTCACTGTCCAGAGCCCAGATTCCAGCTTGTATTGGGTCCCCAGTGAATAGAACAGTGACAAGCTGGTCAGGTTCCCCCAGCAGGTAGAGCAAGAAGACTCTTGGGGCTCACCACGCAAGGGCCTCATAGTGCCACGCCCTTCGCTGTTCAGGGTTTTGACAGTCCCTAAGGGCTGTGAGGCAGAACACTAGAAAACACAGGCAGTGAGGGGCTGATGGTTTAATCAGTGAAGTGCTTGTCTCACCAGCTCGAGAGCCCAAGTTTGATCCCCAGAACCCATGCAAAAGTCTGTTGGTGGCACATGCTTGCAATCCCAGGGCAGGGAAGACCCTGTCCACAACAGAAACAAAGTAGACAGTGCCTAAGGAATAACACCCGAGGTTGAACTCTGCACACACCTGCATGCACACACCCATGCAGGCACACACCCCACAGGCAATGAACTGGTAAAAACCACCACCAGCACCACCACCACCAAAAAAAAAAAAAAAAAAAAAAAAAAAAAAAGAAGACGACGAAGAAGAAGACGTAGAAGAAGAAGAAGAAGTAGTAGAAGAAGAAGAAGAAGTAGCCAAGCCAGTAGCTGGGAAAACAAGTTAGGGATGTTCCGGGATGGGGGGAGCTAGGGGCAGACAGTGAATAGGAGGTGCGCTCTGGTGGTCACCGAGAGAAACTTAGCTCTGGTTCTTCAGGCAGCAGAAGAGAAGAGGGACGGGAGTCAGTCACATAGATCTTTACTATTAGGGAGGGGAGCCTCTCTGGGTTCCAGGGAATCTAAACGTTTCCTAACCCTTGGTTCTTAAAGAACTTTCTAATGGGTAGCCCTATGAACCTGGGGCCTAGAGGAATATATGCTCTTCCAAAGAGCTCCATGGAAGCTGAGGCAGGTCCTTAGGTCTGCTTCAGATAGCATATTATGAAGAAAGTCGGAGGCACAGTCCAGACACTCTGCAGGGAGCTTGGATGTTTCGTTTTTGATGATTCTCCAAGCTTTATTCAATTCTAGATTTATGTGTTCTTCCTCTATGTGTGTGTGTGTGTGTGTGTGTGTGTGTGTGTGTGTGTATGCCACACGTGTGCCTAGTACCCCACAGAAGTCAGAAAAGAGCGTTGGATTCCTTGGAACTGGATGCTTGTGAGCCACCAATGAGTGCTGCTGTCTGCCTCTCTGGACCGAAGGGCTGGATTGATATGTCCTTCCAAAGCTAGACATTGCAGCTGGAACAACTCTGCATGTTTGGAGTCAGCCATGGGCCAGCCATGATCTAGCTCTACTCTCCTATGTATTTTTTTTTTTTTTTAATCATTGCTGTTCTAGCAGCCAGGCTCCCACAGGAATTTTCTATCACTTTGCCAGTGCCCCAGGGGAGGCCTGCTGTGTTCTGTGTTGGGCAGCCATGACCCCAGCCAGCAGAACTCTGCTCTGTCACTGCTGGCTGTGTGCCCATGAGGAAACTGACTCAATTGTACCAGACCCCACTTAGTCCACCTGTCACAAACACTGTCACCCACAGCATTAAACAAAGAGGATGACTTGGATCTGGTTCGAGGCCTTTGCTCTCGTAGGCTCTGAGTCTCTTGGGGAGGGACAGGTCACCTCCCTCTCAGTACACATACACACTCCCAAGACAGACCCAGAGAGCAGGGGAAACTGACTGACTTGTGTCCCTTCAGCTGCGAAGCCGAGATGGCTCCGAGTATCTGATCCAGCATGACTCAGAAGCCATCATCAGCACCTGGCACAAGGCCATTGCCGAAGGCATCGAGGAGCTGGTAGGCAGAGCCTGGGGCCTCGGGGCTGACAGAGAGGGACGTGGGCCTTTTACGCAGGACCCTCAGCTACACACAGAGAACCCATGACACCAGTGGAATAGTGCCATACCCTTCGAGAGTAGCCTATCTGCTGATAAGAGGGCCTTTCCAGAAGCCTGTGACTCCAGCTCTGGGCCTGCTCTCGCAGGATGATGCGGGAGGCAGGCGCAACCTGAGGAAGCTTCTCGTTATAAGGGTGGCGGGTGGGAAAGTACATAAAGATGGTGGGAACGGGACTCAGGCAGGAGTGACAGCTGAAACTAGGAGATGAAGGGCCAACAGACTGAATTCAAGCGCCTTGTGTCTGCTAGACAAGTGCTTTGCCCTGGTGGTGTCAATCACACCTTGTGGATACACAGCCGGGTGACAGACTGGCCTAGCATGCAGAGTCAACAGCTATTTACGTGGCATCGGCCTGATAGTATTTGACTCTGAATTCCATCTGAGTTAGCGCTGGGTACAAATTGTGACTGTGTTAGGAGAAGCAGGAGTCCAAATGCAGAAGGTAACGTTGATGCGATCAGCCATGGTCTGACCTAATGGGAACTTCAAGTTCTCGGGAGTGCTATGTGAGGAGGTCAGGAGCTGGGAGGCGCCTGAAGATGGCCTGGATAAGAAAGGAAGGGGGAGGGTAGAGTGATCCTGCAGCTCCTGGAGGACTCAGCAGCCAGGGAAAGTGGAAGTTGATTCCTAGACAATAACCTGCCAAGAGAAAGCAGGCTCCTCCTGGGATGTCTCCAGGCCAGAGCTGCTGGGGAGAGGCCCCAGCTGGCCCCAGGCCTTGCTTCTCTGAGGCTGTGTGATTCCAGTCGGCAGGCCTGCTGCTCCAGGGGGAGGAAGGCGAGCCCAGCAGTGCTGATTTCGGGTCCAGTGAGCGCCTCGGAAGCTGGCGGGAGGAGGACGCGCATGCAGGTGTGCAATGGGGCCAGGTGGGGAGACCACCAAAGAGTCCGCGGGGAGGGGGGACCCTGGCTGGGGTCTAGGGTCGGTGCTGTCACTGCCACCTACTGACTAAGTTCGGTCTGTGGCAGCCTCACCCTCGCTGAGCCCCGGAGGCCAGGAGAGCGACTTGAGCAGGGTCCGGCACAAGCTCCGCAAATTCCTACAGAGACGACCCACACTGCAGTCTTTGCGGGACCGGGGCTACATCAAAGGTACCCGCAGCTCGCCGGGATCCGGGTTCAGGTGGCCCGGGTCTGGGCACCGCTGACCAATCTCTCCCCCAGACCAGGTGTTTGGATGTGCGCTGGCTCATCTGTGTGAGCGCGAGAGGAGCCCCGTGCCGCGCTTCGTGCAGCAATGCATCCGCACCGTCGAGGCCCGGGGTACGCAAGCATGCAGGCAGGGCAGCGCTCCTTGGCCGGCTTCTAGGAGCAAAGGGTGGAGACCCCTGGGGGAGCACAGGGTCAAGGAGAAGGAGATGCGGAGATCCTGAGTAGAAATTGCTAGGGTCCCAAGCCCTTCCAGGGTCAGCCATTCATTCCCTTTCCCTCAGGGCTGGACATCGACGGGCTCTACCGCATCAGTGGGAACCTGGCCACCATCCAGAAGCTGCGCTATAAGGTGGATCACGGTGAGGTTCTTCCCCAGTCCTTACCCTGGGGGCTGAAAGCACAAGCGGGTGCTGACTGCCTCTCAATCCCCACCCCCACCCCCGCCCCCTCCTCACCGCAGATGAGCGCCTGGACCTGGACGATGGGCGCTGGGAGGACGTCCACGTGATTACGGGCGCCCTGAAGCTCTTCTTCCGAGAGCTGCCAGAACCCCTCTTCCCATTCTCGCACTTCCACCAGTTCATAGCGGCCATCAGTGAGCGGCTTAGGGAGAGGACGGGTGGGGAGGTTGGGCCACTTTTGTCACAGCCAGCAGACCGTCTCTGGTCCCTTCCTCCACCCAGAGTTGCAGGACCCGGCCCAGCGCAGCCGCTGTGTGCGTGACCTGGTGCGCACGCTGCCCACCCCCAACCACGACACGCTCCGACTGCTCATCCAGCACCTGTGCCGGTGAGCAAGCCAGACTCCCCGGGGCAGAAAGGAAGGGCTGGTCGTGGCTGGAGCCCCTGTTGAGAGACTCCCCAACCTCTGAGCTCTTGGTCCCACGCTTCCCACTGCAGGGTGATCCAGCACGGCGAGCAGAACCGTATGTCTGTACAGAATGTGGCCATAGTGTTCGGGCCCACACTGCTGCGGCCTGAGATAGAGGAGGCCAGCATGCCCATGACCATGGTGTTCCAGAACCAGGTGGTGGAGCTCATCCTACAGCAGTGCGCGGACATCTTCCCGCCGCCGCACTGACTGCGGACCCTGGGTGGCTGAGGCCATGAGGCTGGACCTCCTCTGGGGCTCTCCGCCTCCCACCCCGCTGCACTGTGACTTCTGCACCCCTCGATTCAGAGGATACGGTGACTCCCCCCTTCATGACCCCAGTTCATGAAATGTGATTTCTCCCTGTTGTATCCCCATTAGGGGTTCCTTAGGGCCCTTTCTTGATTACAGCGCCGCCTATTGTGTGAATGCGAGAATGTGCCTGGGGGGATGAGTGCTTTCTAGGGCCGCGGCTGGGAGGAGGGATTGGATGAAGGCATTCTGGCTTCCTCAGGCCTGCACCTGGCCAGGCCTCCGTGGAGACCGTGTAGGACCCGTGCTATGCGGGACGTCCTGCTCTGATCCTGAAGCAGCTACTGACACTGTCCCAGCTGCCAGGGCTGGACTGTCCCTGGCTGCCAGCCCAGGCCACGGGCTGCTTTCTTCAGCCTGATGGTCCTGTGCCACCCTGTTGCAGGCCACCGGAGGGCTTTTCCTAGGCTTTCCTCTCTCCCTGGGCCACACCTGTTCTCTACAAGGCTTGTCCATGCCCACCACATGCTTACCCTGCATCGACTACACAGGATTCCAGGGAACCGGGGCTTGCAGAAGTCAAGTGACTTCAGGTTCCAAGGGTGATCTGAATCCCTGCAAAGACTCTCCTCCGGGCAGCAAACCCAGCTTCTAGAGGAGGAGATGAGTCCCCTCCCCCACGGCAGCACAGCCTCTGGACAGAACAGAGTAAATATGCTGGAGTGCCCTGCATGGGCTAGAGGTGGGGGTCCCTTCAGGAAGCAGGGAACTTGTCACAGCTGTTCTGGTGGAAGAAAAACAGCATAAAGAGAAGACCCCAGCCCGTGCCTGAACCCTGGCTGGGTGCCCACCTGGTACCCACTTGCCGTACAGAGCTGGGAGAGGCCCGTTGGAGAGGTCACTCACAGCCTCGGGCAAAGAGAGTTGGACATGTGTCAGCTGTCCGCTTCCTTCTTCATGCACACACCACCTCAGTTCATCTGAGCGCTCCACCCACCCTCACTGACTCAACAAACAATAATAGCTGATATTTATTGAGCATTCATACTATGCCAGCCTTTTTCTCAGACTGCCCCTTGGTTTCTTGCAGTCAGTATTTATTGTGGGCCCTCATGTGCCAGGCACTGTGCTCTGGGGCAGGGGTCTACGCATGCTATCTGGAGCGTAGGGCCCAGGGACTAAGGCTGACGCAAGCCCAGCCCTGATGGTCGCAACGCCAAGAAGAGAACAAATGGAGGCCTCTTGCCGTACACCTACATATTTAAAGTCTTAAGGCAACCTAACAACTGTTAAATAAAATATGTTTATTCTCCTATTTGGGTGACTGTACTCTGGTAATGGCCCGGAAGGCTAGCTTCTAGCTTCAGCATGTTGGACTCTTCCAAGTCCATATGTGAAGAGCTGCATGGGTCTTCGGTCTGTCTGCATCCCCACCCCATTGGCCTTGAACTCCTGACCATCCTGCCGCTACCTCCCAAGTACTGACCTTGCTTCACCAGGCCCAGCTGCCACCTTTTCCTTTTTTTTTGGGGGGGGGGTTCGAGACAGGGTTTCTCTGTAGCTTTGGAGCCTGTCCTGGCCTAGCTCTGTAGACCAGGCTGGCCTCGAACTCACAGAGATCCACCTGCCTCTGCCTCCCGAGTGCTGGGAGCTTTTCTTACTTATTTGCAAACTGAAGGGTCTTTGGGTCCGATCCTCTTGAGGCTGTTGTGACAGGCACTACTGTACAAGTGTGTCTGTGGCACAGCGGCTTAGTGAGCCTGCGCTGCCATAACACCGCAGACCGGAGGCTTAGTCAATGGAGATGTGTTTCTCACAAGGCTGGAGACTGGGTGTTCAAGATGAGGCTGCCGCAGGGTAGGGTGGAGCGAGAGCATCTTTAGCTTGCGGGCGGTACTTCCTCACTGTGTTCTCAAGTGGCAGTGAGGCCAACGGCCGGGTCCTTCCACCCAAGGACTCCGATCCCAACATCAATCATGACCTTGCTTAAACCAAGGCACCACCACCCCCAAGCCCCCATTTCCAAGCACATCACTCCAGGGCTCGAGCTTCAGTGTGAATTGGGGGAGGCTGTGAGCTTCCATTCCATCCTCTTGGGTACGCACGCGACTGTTGCTGGGTCCCACAGAGGTCCCTGCATCTTACTTGTTGGGGGACCTTCCCTGCCATCTTCATCAGCAGTCACTGGGGTGGGGGGTGGGGGCAGGGGTGCTGACCTTTGTCCCACCGCTGGCTTTCGCTGGCTCTCCTCACAGCCCCAGTCTGCCTCCCTCCCTCTCACAGATGGCTGGCCTCTGCCCCCAGCAAAGATGGAAACAGCAACCACAGTGAGCCCCAGAACAGACCTGCCTCTCCCCAGCTCTCCACATCCCCAGGGATAATGATGAGTTTGCCTTTCCTTCCAAAACATACCCACGGTGGTTCTCCATGCTTCTCCCATACCGAGCTGCTGTGCTGGGTTGAAGTCACCAGGAAATAGAAGCAGGAGGTCTGCTTGGTGTACCCAGGACCGACACCAGCGAAGGGATAAAGGGCACAAGACTGGGCCCATGTCCAGACTCAGCCAAGCTCCCAGAAGCTCTGGGTGAGCTTACGCAGTGTCCTTCCTGTGGCAAAAAGCCAGGCCTGCTGGCTGCCCTTTTAACCACCCAAGCTGCCCAGATCTGGGCAGAATATCTCCTTTCAGCCCTGGGCATGTCCCGGAGGGGCTCAGCTGAAAGCCGTTGGTCACCATTCCTAACCAGCTGGGCCTCCACCCCCAGGGGAAGTTGGTGCTTCAGTCATGGAAGAGAGGAGGTTGTGGCACCCACAGTATCCACTACCACCCCACCTGACCCCAGGGGAACATGCTCCAGTCACTGTCACCCAGGGAAACCCTCCACCATACACTTCTCTGCGACCACAGCCGTTCTGTCCCCCCTCACAGCCAGACTTCTTCAATGATAACATTTACTTGTTCACATGCTGTGTATGTGTGTTGAAGCTGCGTGCATGCTATGATGTGTGTGTGTGTGTGTGTGTGTGTGTGTGTGTGTAGATCAAAGGACAACTTGTGAAAGATGGTCCTTTCCTTCACCATTTGGACACCTGGGTTGTCAGGTTTGACGTTCAGTGCCTCTGTGTACAGCTCGACTTCAAAAGTCGCCCATGTTTGCTGGCCCATCCGCTGCCCTCAACCCCGGCACGACACAGACCACAGAAATGCCTGGGGATTCAGCAACACACCTATGTTGATAGACACTCTGAGTCTCCAGGTTCACTGGCTACCCGTGACATGCAGGCCTTCCTAGAAACATCTCTTGCTTGGTCCCCTCATGTTCCTCCCACCTCTGGCCAAGCACACGGAGAAGGAATTCTCAGGCCAGACCCTCCTTGGTGGCACTCACACCTTTAATCCTAGCATTCCAGAGATAGAAATCCCTCTGGATCTCTGTGAGTTCAAGGCCACATTGGAAATAGCCAAGCATGGTGACACACGCCTTTAATCCCAGAAAGCCAGCCTTTAATCCTGGGGATTGTTGGTAGAAAGCAGAAAGATATATAAGGCGTGAGGACCAGAAACTAGAGGCATTTGGCTGGTTAAGATTTTGGCTGGTTAAGCATGTGGCTGGTTGAGCATTCAGGCTTTTAAGAAGCAGTTCAGGTGAGAACCATTGGGATGAGGACACAGAAGCTTCCAGTCTGAGGAAACAGGGCCAGCTGAGGAATTGGCAAGGTGAGATAGCTGTGGCTTGTTCTGTCTCTCTAATCTACCAGCATGGACCCCAATAACTCGCCTCAGGTTTGATTTTATTAATAAGAACTTTTAAGATTCCTACTACACCTCCTCCCTGTCCTCATTCCCAGAATGACATCCACAGCATCAGCGATGTCTGCCCTGTGACAGACCTTTGCCTGAGACTGGATTCATTATTTTCGCCAAACTGAGTCCTCTTTTAGGGTTTCTGTATCCCAGAAAACAGCTCTGTCATCCCCTGGCTGGACAAGCGTGGGAAGGTGGCAGGCTCCCCCCAGCCTGTCTCTGCGTCCTTGGCCGCTGCCTTGCCAGCTCTCCCCATCTCCCCACCAGCCCGGTCTTGGGAGCTAACATCTGCCTGGACTACCACTTAGCCCCTCCCCCACCCCCAACGCAGCCTCCGTTTGAAACACAGTCCTGGTTATTGTCCCAATTTAAAACCTCAGACTTGAGTCCAGCGAGATGGCTCAGCAGGTAAAGGCATCTACTGCCCAGGCTGACCACTTGAGGAGAAAAATTGAGTCCCAAAAGTTGCCCTTTGACCTCCACAGGCATGGATACGCAGTGAGATGTGTGCGGCTTGCCCAGCCATGAACCTAGTGTGGGGACATTTGTGAAGTCACATGCATCTTTATTCCCCAGTTTCTAGGCTAGCCTGGGTCCTGGAGAGTGACAGCCACAAGACTATCTTGTTGGGCCCATAAGTCTTTTGATCCCAAGGCTGTGGAGCAGTCTTTTCCCAAGGCCTCAGCCCAGCAATGCCTCACTCAGGAAAGGGACCCTTTATGCTTTGAGACAAGAGCATCCGAGGCAGCTGAGTGCCCGTCAGACCTAAGGAGGAGGGGACTCATTGGATTGGCAAGAGGGCTGGGAGGGAGCCTGCTTTCCTGGGCCTTTCAAGCCTGGGTGTTCTTCAGCTGCAGGCCTTCGAGGAGTGCCTGGAGGGGCGAGTGAGCCTGTAGATTATTATTATTAATAATTATTATTATTATTACTACTACTACTAAGAAGGGGTGGAGGTGGGGACCAGCTGACAGAACACACTTCATCCTGCGCTACTCACACACAACCACTAGGTGGCGATGATCAGAAGGATTGTGAGGCCAAGTCTCCTGTTTTCAGAGAGAGTCAGATGTGGTCAGACTGGCCTGCAACTTGCTATGTAGATAACCTTGAACTTCTGATCTCCCTGCTTCCACACTCCAAGTGCTGGAATCGCAGCACACCAAGATCCTTTCTCTTCCTTCTCCCTCTCCTCTTCCTCCAAGATGTATTTATTTTTATTTACATGCCTGTGTGTGTGTGTGTGTGTGTGTATGTATGTATGTGTGTGTGTGTGTGTGTGTGTGT